ATCTGGCTGACTGTGTGACCAATAATAATAATTATAAATCTATTCTTAATAATAAAGGCATTTCTTTTACTGAATTGTTCTGTCGGTATACTGCCCAATCAATACAGACTCACTGCAGTTTATGATCAACAGAAACATCCATAGCAGATAAAAATATCCATAGTTAAAATAAACCAATTAAAGGAACCAATAACTATCCAACGTTACAGCAACGCAAAGATAAATTACAACCCAGTAGTCATATTGCTTATGCTCTACTAGAAACATCTAACCAGTCCCCCCCCCCCCCAAATCTCTGATGTAAATTTAAAAGCTTACTTATTACTTCCTCACATTTCAACCCAGCAATGGGCAAGACCACGCAAACTCCTTGTACCCATTTTATTTTTATTTTTGGCACCCCCCAGCGCGGACCCAAAGTTTGGAAATCAACCACACACCATTTTGCACTGGGCAACCCCACTAAATATATTTGAGATACTGGGAAAAAAAGAAAAAAATGAAAAAGGCTTGGTGGTTTTTGTTTTTTTTTAAGAAAGAAAACTTTCCAAAAACTTGGAGAAAACAAAGAAACAAACAAGAATCCAGAAAAAACTGATCTCACCCATATGCGTGTGGCGTGGTCCTTCCCACTCTGATTCACCTTCTCCAGAAATATGAAAGGCAGCCTCACTCCCGCAAAGTTTACCCCCTCCCACATCACGTAAGGCATTCCTAAATTTCCCGTGGCTTATCTCATTAAGATTCTATTTACAGATTTGCTTCTTGTATGTTTATACGCTAAGAAAACATTACAATGGCTTTGCACATCCCCAGGACTTTTTCATTCAAAGGCAACCGACGCTCAGTAATGTTGCATTAGGAACCTCTCATCAGCTGGGGAAATCGGAGGCCGTAACAATGCGTTAGTGACGTTACGGCATGTGCAATGCTTAAATTTTCTATTACGGTGCAATTCAATAACTGCACAATAAGAGGTGGAAGTAGAGCAGAGAATTCATTATCTCTTACCTTAGCGCTGAGTGGTGTTTAACAATTAGATGCTGTAACTTGCACTGAAGTATTTATTTATTCAATGCAACCTCTGGTTGCTACGATATTTGACCATCTCAGAAGTCATTAATTGTTTCTTTGTTGAAGGATAACACTTGCTTCATGGGCTACACAATACTTGTCTTGTAGAATACTAATATTTGACTTCATAAGAAAAGCAGCAGACACGTCTGGCTTCGTGAGAAATTCCTCTTTATCATTTAATGGGTATACAAGAGTTGAGGTTCTTATGTAGTAATGAAATGGTCAAGAAAACACACAGCCTCCAGAAAGTCTCTGCTAGCCTACAAAATGTTTATTAATGGCAATTGTCTAAGCATTATTCACACTCCCACACACCCCACTCGTATATTAACATTTGCCCTCTATGAACTGGCCAAGTTTATAAGGGTTGTTGGGAGAGACAAGGGCACTCAAAATGGTCTCTCACAATGGAGTTCCTTAGAGCTTTCCACTTTGTCCCTCGCCAGCAGCATCTGACCCACCTTCCTTTCCATGTCATCTAAGTCTTTCATTGATTATGTGACTGCTGCGTGGCAGTTCTTATCTTTGGTAGCTTTTATTCCAGACCTTGTCTGATCTGCAACCTGTCCATAATAGTCTTTATCTCTAATAGCTGAAGGGCAACTCTATATAGGAACTGAAAAGTTTGTGAATGAGATACTACCAAGAAAGCCCAGGATTGTAGATTAGACTGTGAAATCTAACTATCTATCTATCTATCTATCTATCTATCTATCTATCTATCTATCTATCCATCCA